TTATGGAATAGACTCATAAATCCAAGTAAATATTCAACACACAAAGCGGATGTGTACTAGACACCCTTGACTTTATCTTTTGTAATTTATTTTCATTGGATGGTGTGCTAGAATCATTCATTTGATTTTTTTGTAATTGATCTTTACTCTTTCTCTACATTACCTTTTTTGTGCATTTGGTTCACAATTGTGCAATCTACAATTCTATTACATATGTTCTTCTCTCCATTTTTATTTTTCCTATTAAATGTACAAGTTCAAATAGGGATGAATTTAGGATCTGACATTATTTAAGTCGGGCTATTATGTAACTTATAAAAAAAATTTACAACACAATTTATTTATTTTTTACTTAAATAAAAAAAATTTACACATAAAACATGGAATTGATCGTTGCATGATAGATGCTTTTATCCTTTTCAATTTTATTATCTCTTAATCCAGTGTTAAAATTGAGTATGTTGAGAAGTTGGATGTGTGTATGAATACGAGGACATGGCCACGTTGACACGTCGGAATGGGAGTCGGGAACAACTATGGAAACTTTGGCATTTTTATGGAGAATAAGTTGCATGGGTGACACGTGTGTTATCCAAATTATCATCATTTTTCTCAATTCACGTGCAAGGGGAACACTCTTGCGCAGCCACACCATCCTCCTGTAAGGATTAAAACAAAATGAGTTAGAAGTTTGAACCTCAAAGTTCACTTTTAAACATCAAGAAGCAGCCACTGTTGAATTTTCTAATATGCTTCAAATTATTATAATAATTTCCCGTTTGACACTCATTTTTTTCTCATTCTCATTCTTTTTCTCTTTTTTCATTTCAACCACACATTCTATCAATAAAATAATATTACACATAAACCTAAAAATTCTCCTTACTTTTTAACCACACATTCTTCCATCAATCACTATTCAAAAACACATTTTTCTATTAAAATGGGTNCATTCTTCCATCAATTACTATTCAAAAACACATTTTTCTACTAAAATGGGTGTCAAACACCCCCTAAGTAATAGACAGCCACTTGTTTGTTTCTGATTAAAATCAGATTTTAATCTAAGTCAAAGTCAAACAATCAATATTAACCACATCTTTCATGAGTCTTGACAGCTTTTCAACCACACATTTTAAAAACTTCTATTACAATCTATTAAATTGTAAAACAAAGATTATCACGATATTTTTTTTATTGTAATATTCAAAGAAATTCTCTTTCTTTTTTTAAAAACAAAAAATTATTATATGGTGTAGTAGTCAATTGGCATGTCATACAATTATCACTTGAAAAATTCCATTGATGTACTGTCAACTAAGTATCTATTGGGAGACGACGTGTGATGGGTTATTGAAATTTGACATTAGAGTGAAGTTTAATAAGTTAATTCAATTTGAAATCAAATATAAGTTTAGTAACCAATTGAGAATTTGCTAGCAACTGCATGCAGATTTATCAGAGCTCGTTTATGAAGTTTTTTCTCAAATTCATTTAAATTCATAATTCCTTTTTATGAAGTTCTCTCAATAAAATAATTTTACACGCATTTTAAAAAAATTCACGAAAATCTATTCTAGCAAAATCTGTACCTAACTTTTTGTTAGACTAAGCATGAATAAAAATTAATTAGAGTAAAACGCAGGCTCAACTTTTTGTTGACGTATCATGCTTGGCCGCCATCTAGTAAGATTTGTAAGTCTCAATCAATAAGGAACTAAACCTAAGTTTGTTGGAAATTAAAATCNAGTCTTGACAGCTTTTCAACCACACATTTTAAAAACTTCTATTACAATCTATTAAATTGTAAAACAAAGATTATCACGATATTTTTTTTATTGTAATATTCAAAGAAATTCTCTTTCTTTTTTTAAAAACAAAAAATTATTATATGGTGTAGTAGTCAATTGGCATGTCATACAATTATCACTTGAAAAATTCCATTGATGTACTGTCAACTAAGTATCTATTGGGAGACGACGTGTGATGGGTTATTGAAATTTGACATTAGAGTGAAGTTTAATAAGTTAATTCAATTTGAAATCAAATATAAGTTTAGTAACCAATTGAGAATTTGCTAGCAACTGCATGCAGATTTATCAGAGCTCGTTTATGAAGTTTTTTCTCAAATTCATTTAAATTCATAATTCCTTTTTATGAAGTTCTCTCAATAAAATAATTTTACACGCATTTTAAAAAAATTCACGAAAATCTATTCTAGCAAAATCTGTACCTAACTTTTTGTTAGACTAAGCATGAATAAAAATTAATTAGAGTAAAACGCAGGCTCAACTTTTTGTTGACGTATCATGCTTGGCCGCCATCTAGTAAGATTTGTAAGTCTCAATCAATAAGGAACTAAACCTAAGTTTGTTGGAAATTAAAATCAACAATTAATTTTAATTACACATTTCATGGGATTCACAACTTTTCAACCACACATTTCATCACATTTTATCAAAAACTACTAAAATTCTAATTTTAATCACCATTGAACAAGGGCTTACTTTTAACATGCATATCACATACTCACATTTTAACTCAATTCAAATGGTTTGGTAGAATTGCCACAAATTGTTTGATGCCTAGTGGTGGCAATCGAGCCGAACGGCTCGGTCGCTCGGCTCGTACTGTAGTGGCCCACGAGCAGCTAGAGTTCGTCAAAAAACGAGCCCGAGTACGAGCCGAGCAGGCCGGTTCGGTAGGCGAGCCGTTTTTGACAAGCGACTCGTCTAATTTTTTTTTTAAAGAAGGATAGTTAAAAAAAATTCAAAAGAGACGAGTCCGAGTCCGAGCAGCTCAGCTCGGCTCGGCTCACTACAGTACGAGCTCGTGGCTCGAGCCGAGCTCGCCCACGAGCAACGAGCCGAGCTTCTGCTCGACTCGTTTTATAACGAGCCACGAGCTCGAGCTCGTGGGTAACGAGCCGAGCTCGTGGGCAACGAGCTGAGCTGGCTCGGCTCGGCTCGTTTGCCACCACTATTGATGCCCTCTCTGTCGATTTTGTGTTTTAGTAATGACATCATATGCAGATATCGTCATGATATTCTACTTAAAAGTTTATATTATGCTTGCAACGATTTACTAGCTGTGTGGATTGACGAATGACTTGGTCCCATTGTGATTTATTAAAGTGTCTTCAATTGAGATTTTGATAGATTTTAAAATATTATAAATTATAATGAATTTTGTGAATTTAAATAGATTTTCATAGAGTCCATAAAAATCTCATTATAAATTTTGAAATTTCTAAGGAATTTGTTATGTGTATTTTTAACCTTGAAATTCATCTAATTCTTTTGAAATACCTTTATGAATGAATCCTTATAAATTCACGAGTTATAATGATAAATAGAGGATTTAATTAAAATCTCAATTGGAAAAACTTAAAATCAAAATATCAGTTGAGTACACTTCCTCATACCTTATCTAACTGAGTGTATTCCATTATTGATTAATCTGAGGTAGGTAGTAAAATGTGCTCAAATTGGTAGAACAACTTGCGGCAAAGGGTAGAAACTAGAAAGTGGGTAAGAGTTTGATTGGAAGTTAGGTGAGGTGAATAGATTGATAGTCACGGGGGACTTGGGGATCCTCCTATCTAATGGATTTATTCCAAATTAAACACCACAATTCTTTGTTATATATAAAAACTTCATAAACGAGCCCCTTATGTGCGGAAAATAATTTAAATTCGTTAATATTTTAAATTCATGTTTAATCATTACTTAAATTGATTATTTAGAATAAATGATTAAAATGTAGAGAATTACTTGGAATTTGCGTGTAAAATTATTTTAATAGAAGAATGTATAGTTACAAATAAGTTTGAGAAAAAATAAATTTTAAAAAATGAATATTAAGCGGGGACAGGATATGAAACTTTGTGGAGATGATCGGCGCATGTTAACTCATGCCTTTTTTTTAATCTAACTTTTGTGTTTTTTTTCAAAGCAATACATCTATAATGAGTTGTGCTCTTTTTTTTTTTTTTTTTTTCCCCCACACAATTAATGTTCCGTAATTTTTTTTGTAGATTATAAATTAATCATAAAAAAAAGTATAGATAGAAAGTATGAAGGACCATGCTACACTTACTCCATGGATTACTACATGGAGTACATCCCCACAGCCGACCCTCCAATAGGTGGTCGCCACTTGTCCAAGATGTACTCCATGTAGTAATTCATGGAGTACATCTAGCATTTTCCATTTATGGAGTACATCTAGCATTTTCCAAGTATGAATCCTATAAAATATGGGGAGAGTTGCCGTTCGGGTTTTAAACTTTTCAAATTGTTGCAAATTATACCCAAATCTTTTATTTTGTAGTTAGGGTTCCAAACCTTTCATCTTTATTGTAACCGGAAGACATGTAGACGGAATTCACCCAAATAATTGTCAATTATCCAAAAGTCAACGGTTTGATCAAATGATTTTTTATTTATATTAATTTATTTAATTATTTTATATCAGATAATTTGACTAGACCGTTGACTTTTGGTCAACTAACAATCAAATGAACGAATTCTAGTTGCTCTCAAGATGAAAGGTTAGGGACCCCAGCTACAAAAATGAAAAGTTTGGGTATAGAATACAATTCTACCTACAATATATGAACAAAAATAATATTTGATCAATTATAAATTTAGAAACATTATGACTAATAAGACAAGTATCTTCCAATTCCTGTGACTTGTTCTTATCAATATAATACACGTAGTTTAAATCATTGGAAGTTGATAAGTGGCCTTGAAAAAAAGCAATATTTATACTTTTTTGTACTATTTAATTACACCCTCAAAAAATATAAATTTCAATCTATGTTCAAATAATTATATCTGGATTATCTGGTATTGTTTTTTTTTTTTTTTAATTCAAACTTGAAATCTCTCTCTCTCTCTCTCTCTCTTAAAATCGGTGCTACTCTGTATAAAACAGAAAAAAGCTACTCCCCCTTTTTTGTCTGCTGTTCTGCATCCCTCTTGTAGATAAAGGCAATGCTACCGGCGTCCAACGGCATCGTTTGGAAGGGAGGAGGAGGAGAAGATGAAGAAATTTCTTGGCCCAGGAACAATGAAATCGAGACATGTAAAGATGAAGATAAGAATGCTTCTGTATCTAGCTTCAAGTCCATGCTTGAAAACGAGTGGTTCATTAACAATGCCTTCAACAAACCAAATCCAGAACTCCATATGAATCCTTCTTCCCAACTACCAGAATTTAGCAGCCTTTTGTTCAATCCGTTGGAGGAGTCTTCATGTTCACCGTCACAGATGTTTACTCTTGACCCCTCACAGTCACATTTGCAGTCCTTGTTTCAGCCAAAATCCTGTTTTCCTTCACTGTTTAACGTTGTCTGGAACAATCCTTTTGACAATGGCTTTGATTTTTCCGGGGAGACGAATTTCTTAGCTAATCAGAGTGCGACTTCTGATTCTGTTTTGATGGGTTATAATGGGATTAGTTCGCAAGCTGAGTTGGGCCTACTGGATTCGAGCTCTGAGTTTCCCACCACCACTCGTTTACATTCGTTTTCCGACTACAACAACACCGCCATTGGAGGGGGTTCTGAGGCTTTTGGTATCGAGGGTAGGTCTAAGGTACTGAAACCACTTCTAGAGTTGCCACCGCTTGGAGTACAGCCCACTCTCTTTCAGAAGCGAGCCTCCTTGCGGCAGGGAGTGGATGAATTGAGGAATTTGGAGCTTCCCCGCTTGAAAAGCGGAGAGGTTTCCATGAGGGTGGAAGGGAGTTGGGAGAAGGGAGATGTTGCTGGGGAAATGGAACTGGAATTGGAGAAGAAGTGGAAGAGAAAAAGTAGTGTTGAGTATGAAATGGAGGAGGATGTGGGTGCTTTAAATTATTATTCGGATGAGCCTACTGATAATACCTATAACATTGGGGATGGGAATGGATATAATTCGAATGCCAACAGTAGTTCTACAGTTGGGGATCAGAAAGGCAAGAAGAAGGGTCTGCCAGCCAAAAATTTAATGGCAGAGAGGCGACGGAGGAAGAAGCTCAATGACAGGCTTTATATGCTTAGGTCGGTTGTGCCCAAAATAAGCAAGGTATACACACATTTCATGCTTGTAGTTCGTCTTCTATCTTACTCAGTTCTTGATTGTCTTGGTTTGGTGAAATTTTAGCCTACAATTTCAGGATAAGGACTTGTGCAGAGTTAAAAAAAGGGCTTTCTCATTTTCTATGAAATCATTTCTATGCATGTATCATTGTGTTTGTCCTAGTAATTCCCCATGAAATGCTTTGTCAAAGGAATTGGAGATTGCTGAATCAATTTATGGAAGATATTGTTCGAATGGTTATTAGAACTGGGAAAGAAAAACGCCTTTCATATTGTAAACTGCGGAAGAAAGAAAGAATGTTCTGATACGCCATCAAAGCAAAATACTATAAGAAATAACTGAAAATGAAACATAAAATGGAAACATGAAACATGATTTTACAAATGGGAAAACTAAACACGACTCCTAAGTCCTAACGCTTGTTCATGCACAGGCTTGAGAAAATTGGGGGATTCCGTAATGGATGGTCTTTGTGCTTATTCATTAAAATAGTTGATAAATTGATTTTTCTTGTTGAATCCAGTTTTCTATCGAAATAAAGGTTTTAATCATTTTAGACAAGAATGTTTATTGGTGAATTACATTTATTTGTTTGGTTAATTGAGTTATGAGTGATGCAATCTGATTGTTATCATTATGTTCATAGATGGACAGAGCTTCTATTCTTGGGGATGCCATTGATTATTTAAAAGAGCTTCTGCAACGGATAAATAATATCCACAATGAACTCGAAGCTACACTTCCAGGATCTGTGATGCCACCTTCTATGAACTTCCATCCTTTATCACCAACCCCTGCTACTCTTCCCTATCGCGTCAAGGAAGAACTCTGTTCAAGTTCTTTGCAAATCCCTAAAAACCAACCTGTGAAGGTAGATTTCGCTCTTGCTGGGATTCTTGAAATCGTTGCTCTCTTTTCTGGTTACTGCAATTGAAAGTTTTAGTTCCTTCTTTAGCCTATTAAATTAGTTTTTGCTTTTCTTTGAAGTTATATGGATTTAATGCTCTTTCTTGTAGTTGGTTCTAGTATTATTTTATACCCTAAAAACTAGATGGAGTGTCGCATCGTGTGGAACATAAGGAGGGAAAACATCTTACCAACTAATTTCTTTAGCTTTGCGTTCTTCCAGTTTCAGCGGATTGGTACCTTCTTGTGTGCTAATTTCCATCTGAAGTCGTTTACTGAAAATCTGCTGGTAGTCTTTTAAATTCCAAGATGCAATTTGCCAAGTGAAATTTCAACTATTTACTATTTCCCCTTAAATCTAGACTTTTCAACTTGGGGTACCAAAAAAGGTCACCACTAGAGGTATATATTATAGACGTTGCAGAAGGCTTGCCTTGTATTTTATATACTTTAGTTGCCTGGAATTTTTTATTCTGCTTATCTAGTGTTCTCTGTCATGCATAATTTTCTTTTTAAAAGATCCTAAAATGTATTTTTTTGTAGGTTGAGGTAAGTTTGAGAGAAGGGAGGGGTGTCAACATACACATGTTTTGTGCCCGTAGAATGGGTCTGTTGCAATCCACTTTGAAGGCTTTGGACGACCTTGGCCTGGATATTCAGCAAGCAGTCATAAGCTGTTTCAATGGTTTCGCTTTGGATGTGTTCCGAGCCGAGGTATGTGTTTCCATTAATATTATAACCTTGCTAGATGGAACAAAGGCAAACTGTTTTTCATTTCGTAGTGTCAGTTGTGTGGAAGTGGTAAAAAGAGGAAGAGAGATGTATTCCTAAAAACGCGGTGACATAGAAATGCTATTTACTACACGAGTTGGTAGTAGTTAACAAGTGTCGATAAAGATTGAAGTAGTATTTTGTGTTGATTAGCAATGCAGGAACGGGCAAGACATTTTGCCGGAGAAGATAAAAGCAGTGCTTCTGGAGTTGGCTGGGTTTCATGGTGTGATATAACGCATCAGAATCTGTACGAAGACTGGTTAATCACGCTTCATATGCTAGTTTAGTATATTAGATCCTCAGTAACTTTAAATAATTACAGTATTATTATTTTGAGTTTGTTTGACAGATCCCTTTGCATGTTAGTAGTATTAAGCTTATTTAAATATCAGTGATTGAAAGAAATTATAGCACCATTCATTCTATTTGAACAACGGACAAAAGCCTTCGAGATGGTGTAAATTGGAATACAAGTTCTTGTCTATGAAATTGTATCACTGGCAAATGGCCATTTCTATAAATTTTTACCAAATTTCCCTACAAACTTTTAAAATGAGATTTTTGTTTTGCATCTCCTTCTCTCCATCGGCCATCGCCTTCACCCAGCAAACCCCATAGGTTCTAGAGACACCGCCAGCATTTCATTCCACTCACTCCAACCACCACCTAACACCCCCACTCTAACCACTCATCGGTGCCAGACATGGTCTGGTTCGCAAGCAAAACCATACACCAGATCTCTGGCTCGCCGGCTGCCAGACCCCAAATACTCGTGCAGATCTGGCTAGCTCTTAGATAGAGGATAGAGTGGGAATGGACGTCGTAGAAGCGGAGGCGGAGTAAAGCGATGTTGGAGGAAAGCTCAGCGTTGGTGCCATCTAGATGGGTCTTGTGGAGGTGGCGGGAGAGGATGGTAGAGAGGTTGGTGGGAAGTGGAATCTAGTAGGTCGAGCTTTACTTCAACTTCCATTTGGTGACAAGGGCAGATGATAAGGGATGTTGTTGGATTGCGTGCTCATATACTATAATTGACTTCAAAAATGCTACTTATACACATTTGGTACACAACCCTCTCACATGTGTGTGGGGTCCACAATGGGGCTCATATTGTGTGACTCACACATATGTGAGAGGGTTGTATACCTATGTATAAGTGTAGCAAGGATCAATTGACTTTAATAAAATGATAATTTTATAATAAAATAAGGGAGTGTCTGAGCTCATTCTTTTTTAAAAATGTATTTTAAAATAATGATTGATGGAGAATGTGTGGTTAAAAAAGAAGATTTTTTTTTTATTTACGTGTAATATTATTCTAATGAAAAATGTGTGGTTAAAAAAGTAGAGAAAGAAAAATGTATTTTAGAAAAAATGGGAATCAAACGAGACCAAATAATGTTTTTATTTATTTACTTTTATTGTATTTATCTGATATTAAGTAAGGGAATAAACGTGCTAATGGTAACTTGTGATGATATAATTTGGATGCTAGCGTTTTGAAGCGCAATTTATCTCAACTTATATTTTTATCATAAATAGAATTATTCATAATCATTGTATGATGATTGGTATATTGTATTGAAAAGTTGCATAGTTGACTATTTGGCCATTTGGGTTCATGATTTGTCTTCATTCGTATTAATTTTTGGTAGAATTATTCTACTCTATCAGATTTTGGTTCACAGAT